GACCTTTAATTATGGTTAGAATCCACTTATGAGTGAATACATACCGTGTTCCTCTTTTTGGGTCTGGCTTACCTCACTCAGTAAAGCGTTTTCTATTTCCATCCATTTGCATGCAAAATTCAAGATGTCATTGTTTTTTACCGCTGAGTAAAACTCTAATGTGTATATGTTCCACACCTTTTTTAACCATTCTTCTATTGAGGGGCACCTAGGCTGTTTCCAGGTTCTGGCTATTACAAATAGTGCTGCTATGAACATAGTAGAACAAATGCTTTTGTAGTATGTTAGGGAATCTCTAGGGTATATTCGCAAGAGTGGAATTGCTGGGTCCTGAGGGAGGTTGATTCCCAGTTTCCTGAGAAACCGCCACACTGATTTCCACAGTGGCTGCACAAGTTTGCATTCCCACCAACAATGGATGAGTGTTCCCCTCACCCCACATCCTCTCCAGCATAGGCTATCATTGGTGTTTTTGACTTTAGCTATTCTGACAGGTGTGAGATGGTATCTCAAAGTGGTTTTGATTTGCATTTCCCTGATCGCTAAGGAGGTTGAGCATGACCTTAAGTGTCTTCTGACCATTCGAAGTTCATCTGTTGTGAATTCTCTGTTCAGTTCAGTACCCCATTTTTTAATTGGGTTAATTAGAGTTTTAGTGTCTAGTTTCTTGAGCTCTTTGTATATTTTGGAGATCAGACCTTTGTCTGATGAGGGGTTGGTGAAGATCTTCTTCCAGTCAGAAGGCAGCCTTTTTGTCTTACTGACAGTGTCCTTTGCTTTACAGAAGCTTCTCAGTTTCAGTAGATCCCATTTATTCATTGTTTCTCTTATTGTCTGTGCTACTGGGGTCCTACTTAGGAAGAGGCCTCCTGTGCCTATATCTTGTAGACTACTTCCCACTTTCTCTTCTGTCAGGTTCAAAGTGGACGGATTAATGTTGATGTCTTTAATCCATTTGGACTTGAGTTTTTAAAACACTGCAATTCATGGTCTAGAATCTGAGCTTAGGTGTTTGAAGCAGTGTGTATTGGCATCGCATGACATGAAGGCATATGCACAATGTGAATTATGTTTTCAGAACCATGGTTGCAGTGAAGTCTGTGATCCGTCACAGGAAATTACTGCCAGAAACTGCGCTTGTTGTTTGTTTTTGGTTGTTGCACATGGAACCTTTTACTGTTGCCAAATTTTTGTGACCTCCATTTGAGTTATGCAACCTCAGATGAGGTCACAGCCTACACTAAGCAGCTGTGTGTTGACCTTCTTTCCCATTGACTCTTCAAAAGGCCAACTGTATTTATTCACAGTAATTTCCATGATCACAGGACTTTGTTTTGTTTTATTTATCTTATTAAATGTTTGTTACTTGAGTAAATAAAACAAGTATTCATATGCTGGTATCGCTGTAAGTACTAAAGACAAAGAGAGTTTGGGGTCCTACACAGCAACAACAAAAGAAGAAGAAGAAATAATGATTGAGGTTTTCTTGATTCTTTTGACAAGGGAGAGAAATCTTTGTGGTTCTGAACATTAAAATATAGGTGTTTCATAAACACATCCAGGGCCACAAAGAGACAGCCAAGATGTACCAACCCTGGCAAAAACTGTTGGCAGGTGTCTTGTGGTTTTGGAAGTCTGATTTAGTTATAAATTAGTCTTTTTAAAAAGTAAATGGAATATCTAGGAGATTATGTGAAACATTAAAACACATGACTTTATAGTAGGAGGTGTTCGAATGGATGTTGAAGCTAAACTGACCTTGAATTTTTACAGATACCAAGCCCAGATAACTTTTGTTAGAAAGGATTCAGTAACCATCGTAAATTATTTCTCCCACAATGTGTTTCTGGAGCAAACCTAAATACTTGAAGTATACCATTCATTTCTAATGGAATGTAATATTAGAACAGAAGGTCTCGGGTTGAAAGCTGTTCGTTATAGACCTTTTGTTGTCCATTTGAAATTAGTGCAAGTATAGCTGAGAGAAGGATGGCTATGTAAAATTGTTGCAGATGTTAGTAGTATGGTAGAGAACTGAGTTTGCCTTAAATAGAAATAGTTGGCCAAATATTATCTTTTAAAAATAAGAAGGATTAACAGTAATCAAAAGATTAAGTATGATGAAGGTGTTAGTGACATAGGGCCTATGTATTTAATTTTATTTCACTATTAAAATGCACAGACTGTTTTATGACCACGTATGAGTAATGTAATAATCATTATTGTAAGCTTATAGTTCTGCTTTTGTAGTGGATGTAAGATAAGAGTGGAATCACTTGTGAAATCCCTTTCCTACTTAACTGGCTTGCTTTCCCTCACCCTAATTACTCAAATATCTTACTTTCCCTGATAATAAACTCTTATTTTTCCTGATAATAAAAAGGGAAACACAGTATTGTTTTTCATTTTCAGAACGGTCTCTGTAGTAAATACCCCCCCCCATTTTCTACTGATTGTAAGTTAGGTGTGCACATGGGGGTAGGGGTGGGTGGTGGTGGTACATGTACACCAGAACACCTGCAGGTGGAGGCCAGGGGTCTGTACTGGGTGTCTTTTTCTATTGCTCTCTACCTTTCTTTTAAAGCAAATCTCTCACTGCCCCCAGAGCTCACCATTTTGGGTAGACTGGCTAGGCAGTAAACCCCCAGGGTCCTCCTGTCCCTGCCCCTCAACCTAGCACTCACACCAGGTTTTTTTCATGGGTGCTAGGGATCCTTACACACCTACATAGAAGCACTTTACCTGTTGAGTCATATCCCTAGCCCATAAGTCAGTATTGTTTAAAAAGAGCTTTGGGGGTTTATTTGATGGGGCAGGGTGGGGTGTTGTTTTGTCTTTGAGATAGGATTTCACTATATAATCCTGTCTGATTTGAAAGTTGTGATCTTCCTGCCTCCACCTCACAGGTAACTGGAATTACAGATATGTACCACTGTTCTGGGCTGTATAATTAGCAGCATAAAGCTAACTTTATTGCCTTAATATTTGCTAAATTAGTCAGGGTTTTCCAGAGAAACAGAACTGATAGAATGAATACACACACACACACACACACACACACACACACACACACACACAAAGACTGTGTTCCTGCTAGTCCAACAATGGTTATCTCTTGGTGGAAAGTCCAAGAATCCAATAGTAGTTTGGTCTAGGAGACTGAATATCTCAGCTGGTCTTTGATAAACAATGGAATCCTGGAGAAGTAGATTGTAATACCAGATAAGGAGTGGATTTTTCCAAGGAGCGTGAGGGCAGGCAGGCAAAAAGCAAAAGTTTCCTTCTTCCATGTCTTTTCTATAAGCTGCCACCAGAAAATGTGGTCCAGATGTAGGGTGGGTCTTTTGAGCGTCAAATGATCCAATCAGGATAAATCCCTCACAGGTGTGCCCAGCTGATTGGACTTTAGTTAATTCCAGATGTAGTCAAGTTGGCAACTTTGGGTTTCAAACTCATTCCTTACTAGTTTCCTCATAGTCCAGGATTCAATATGACTCTTGTGGAATGTCTCCTATAGTCTGTGACAGTTTCCTGTCTGTCTTACATGACCTTGATTGTTCTGAGTAACCAGGTGTTCTATAGAAGGAATCTTACGTGCTTTGGTACTTTCCTCATGATTAAACTGGGTTTTAGAAAATATCAACACAGAAGCCAAGTGTCCTTTCACCCTTTTTCAGGGAATACATGACAACAGTACTACTTGCAGAAGGTAGTGTTTGCTTAGTTTCTCTATAACAAAGTATTTTTGTCTTTCTGTATTCTAACCTTTGGAAATGAGTTGCTGAATTCAGCCCATACTTGGACTGGGGCACTGAAGTTTCATGTTATAAGCAGAGCAAATTGATGAGTATTACTAGGAATTCTCTAAGGAAGATTTGTGTGTGTGTGTGAAATTTATATTGCTATGTGTAGTTATTGTCCAACCCAAACAGTCCGCAGTTTGTGATGGTTAGACCTAGGATCTTCTCAACTTTGTCACAGCATAAAGCAAACCATTCACATCTTCTGGGCTTTCACTTTCTGTACACTTTCATTGTCTGTATTAATTTCACAAGATACTCAATACTTTATTTTGAAACAGACTTTGAATTAAAAGGTTTCACCTAGTTGTGGCCTGGATGTCCTGAGTGCATATAGATTAGGCTGTGATATTCGGTAGGTTAGGTGTGCTAAGTGCATCTTTTAGAGTATTTTTGGCATATGGTAGGTTGTCAGTCTGTAATCCCATATGTGTATTATGGTATATGTATGGTATTTTGTTGCAGTGATAATCTCCTTGTTTGTGCTCTCCAGTGATCTCTGAACTACCCTTTTCCAGTCTCTGACATAAATGTGAAGCTTTATTTGTTGAGTTGCACTCCTGGAAACTGTGCTCATCTTCAGGACTAAGCAGTAGGAGGATATAGGAGGGGGAGGGGCAGAATGTCTCTCTCTCTCTCTCTCTTTAGCGCACGCGCGCGCGCACACACACACACACACACACACACACACACACACTAGGGTAGGGTATCTCTGTATCCTCTTTGGAAATGCAGCTCCTTTGACCAGAAAGCAAGCAAGCTTCCTTTGCCTCTGAGTTTTAGGCTCATGATCCTCATTGCCATTGTGCCCATAGATGGCTGAGCTGAGAACAGAGAAGAGAGGGGTTTTGTGTGTGTGTGTGTGTGTGTGTGTGTGTGTGTGTCTACACTTTCTTGTGAATGTTAAGATTTCCCTCTTCAGTGACAGCTGGGACATGAAACTTTTCTTTAAGCAGTATACACTTCAGACTGGATGATGCCAGAAGAAAAAATGATGGCCATTCTAAAATGGAGCTTTGTATTTTGGTCCACTACAGGACCTGTTGCCATGTACTTTTCAGGGTCCCATGTAATCTACTGTAGGCATTTTAGCCAGATCTTAGAACTACACTGAGTTGGTGAGACAGTTGGAGTGCTATAATTGCTACATTTTATCTGAAACCAAACCTTGCTGAAAGGTTTTTCATCTCTTTCTTCTAGGAATTTAACAAGAATCTGAAGTTTTGATTCAAATATTTTTTGAATTGAAGCCAGAAATGTATTAGAATTTTGATTCTTTCATTTGATTAAGGTAAGATTATTTAATAAAATATAATTCTACCCTTATATATTTTAAAACATATTTAATATTTATTTTATTAACACATTTTTATTTCTGAGTCTAACTAGAGATTTGTACCTAAAAAACATTTTTATGATTTCTCAAGGCTAGAGATATAGCTATTAATAGAGTGTTTGCTTAGCATACACAAAATGCTGAGTTCTATCCCTTATGCCACTTACATCAGGTGTGGTGGGGCACACCTGTAATCTCATTGCTAGGGAGACAGAGGCAGGAAAATCAGAAATTCAAGGTCAGTCTGTTATTTAGCAGATTTGAGGTGCCTTTGAGATCCTGGCAACAGAAAGTGGGCAAGGGTGGTCCTTTACCATTTAAATGACTAGTGTTTCTTGTAACAACTATCGGATACAAAGGAAACATGATGGTATGATCACCGAAGGTATAATATATTGAAAAGAAATGTTTGGCTGGAACAGAAGTCATCAAATTGGCCCACAGCCTGGCCATTTGCTTTAGTAGTGTTTTATTGTAGCATTGCTATATCCACTCATTAGTTACTGTCTGTGGCTACCTTAGCACTTTAGTGCCAAATTCATTACTTTGGATTTAAATATGTATCTAAGTGTCTAAGTAACTGTACCAAGCTCAATATCTTGAAATGAAAGTCCTTATAAATACTACTTTTCTAGCTAGGCATGATGGCACACCCCCTTTTTTCCCCCGCACTCAGGAGGCAGAGGCAAGTGGATCTCTGAGCTTGAGGCCAGTCTGGTCTACAGATTGAATTCCAAGACATCCAAGGCTACACAGTGAAACTCTTGTCTCAACAATATCAACAAAACCAAATGAATAAAAAATAAATTAAAAATAAAAAGAAATGCTAATTTTCTGAAATAATTGGTTTTTTAAAACCAGACTTAATGTCATGAGTAGTTGCATGTCTAATGCTTATTTGTTTCTAAGTAATGGTCTTTGTTTTCAAAACAAAAAGTTTATATAATGCTGGTTTTGTTCTTGCTCTAAAAAAGAGATTCATACTAATTATATTTGGTTTACCTAGTAAGTTTAAACAGAATTAGCAAGACTTTGAGAGAATGAGGATTGTTTTTAATAGCTGCCCTAATAAGGTAAGTATCTCATTAGGGTTTCTATTGCTCTTAAGAGACAGCATGACCATGGCAGCTCTTATAAGGAAAACATTTAATTGGGGCTGGCTTACAGTCAGAGGTTTAATCCAGTATCATCATGACAGGAAGCAGACTGGCATACAGGCAGACATGGTGCTGGAGAGGTAGCTGAGAGTTCTATATCCAAATAGGCAGGCAACAGGATGAGAAACTGAGACACACTGACCAGGCTTGAGCAAATGAGACCTCAAAGCTCTCCCCCAATGACACACTTCATTCACAGCTCCACGCTTACTCCAACAAGACCACACCTCCTAATAGTGATACTCCCTATGGGCCTTTTTTATTCAGACCACCACAGTAATTTATAGCACATGAAGTTTTAAATGAAAATAATCCTAATATAAAAGTATATTAGTGAGCCAGCTATGGTAGTGTATTGTAGGTTACTTGAGAGACTAAGGCAGAAGGATTGAGAGTTCAAGGCTAGCCTGGGCTATATAACAACACCATCTAGTGGTTAAAATAGGAATTACATTTCCCTCTAAAGTATGAAGTCAACTGCTTAACGTGATTGGCCCTATCTCAGCAAGTTCCCAATTGGTAGATTTGACCAATATCAACTCAAAGATATTTGCAAGAAGAATTATGTAAACTTCATTTCCTGTGGTAATTTCCTATACAGTACAGCATAACAACTACTGACAAAGCATTCATATTGGAACAGGTGGAGTGTGAGTAATCTAGAGGTGATTCACAGTCTGTGGGAGGTTTATGTAGTAATCTGGAGGTGATTCACAGTCTATGGAGGATTATGGAGTAATCTAGAGGTAATTCACAGTCTGTGGAAGGATTTATATGAGTAATCTATAGGTGATTGACAGTTTGGAGGATTATGAAGTAATCTGGAGGTGATTCACAGTCTCTGGGGGATTATGGAGTAATCTGGAGGTGATTCACAGTCTGTGGGAGGGTTTATGTAGTAATCTGAAGGTGATTCACAGTCTGTGAAGATTTGTGTAGTAATCTGGAGGTGATTTACAGTCTGTGGAGGGTTTTTATGCCTAATCTGGAGGTGATTCACTCTGTGGAGGTTTATGTAGTAATCTGGAGGTGATTCATAGTCTATGAGAGGTTTATGGAGTTCCATAAAGTACTGATCTAATTATAAAAGGGGCCTGAGCACACAAATTTTGCTCTTTTTGGGTACTAGATCTAATATAATCTAATTCCTAAAGTTATGAATGTTTAGAAACATTAGAGGAAAAAATTAAAAATGGAATTGAGAAAGTCTGTAAGATGTGTGTTTTGTTTCCCAACAATCTCCAAAGGGGTAAAAGAAAAAAGAAAAATATATTTTAAAATCTAGCATGTAGCCAGGTGGTGGTGGCGCACGTGCCTTTAATCCTGGCTCTCAGCAGAGACAGGAGGGTCTTTTGAGTTCAAGGCCAACCTGGTCTACAGTGCAAGTGCCAGGGCGGACTACAAAAGTTGCAGAGAAACCTTATCTTGAAATAAATAAATAAATCTAGCACATGTTGGGCGGTGGTGGCACAGGCCTTTCATCCAGCACTCAGAGGTAAGGCAGGCAGATCTCAGTGAGTTCACAGCCAGCCTGGTCTGTAAAATGAGTCCCAGGACAGGCTCTAAAGCTACACAGAGAAACCCTGTGTCGAAAAACAAAAACAAAAAAGAAAGAAAGAAAGAAAGAAAGAAAGAAAGAAAGAAAGAAAGAAAGAAAGAAAGAAAAAAGGACCCTAGCATGTAAATTAGAATTCCCAACCTCTATTAAAGAAATATCTGTTTTAGTCACCAAAATATGAAGGGGAAAAATAAGGATTTGGAAGGAACTCATTCTGTGTAATTTATTAAAAATAAACTTTTTATAATTTTCAACTTGTAAAATAATCCACTGGGTTTAAAACAGCCTTCTATATGTGGCATCTAGCCTGGGAGGATATGTTTGGTTTATGATGGGTTTGTATGTGATATCTGTGTTTGCTTTGTTCTTAGAAAATAAATTTAAAACTTTAAAGAAAGGAATTTGGAAATTTAAAGCATCTGTAGTTATAATTGTTTTTGTAAATGTTATACTAAGTATCATTTCTGTAGGAGTTTCACTGGACTATCACAGAGTTACTGAGCATGTGTTGAATTTTTGAATTTCAGCTAATAGTAATACAGACATGTATTTTCTGATGCATGATTTGTTTATAAGAAAACTGTTTTGTCAATAAACTCATTTTTTGGTAGATCAATAAACTGTTTGTACAGTGATTAAGCCATCTTTGTATTAACTGTATTTTATTCTGTAGTAGTGCTAAATTTTAAGATTAATGGTTTTATGTAGAATTGCCAGTTCTTAATATTTTTGTTTTACTGATGACATGTATATTATATTTAATATAAATTCATCTATATCAAGGATTAGCTAACTTTCTAGCATATTGACCTCAACTCAATAAACAAAATATTTCAAGTATGGTAAAAATTATATGAGAAACTTTCATGGGGCATAAAAGCCATCAACTTACATAGACCTTTTCCTTAAAACTTGATAAATGTTAATTCACATTTGGTAAATAAAAAACCCAAAATAATAAAAGGAAGAATCTAATGACTTAATATTCTTTTATAACATTCTAAGATAAAGTAGATTATAGACCTTGTAGGTGATATAAAAAAACATTATAAGTATATTTCTTTATTCCATCTGGTGTTACAAGTACATCAGCTCAGGTAGTAAGTTACAAGGGCAAGCAAAGGCTTGGGATTCAAAAGTTACTGTAGTCAGACTAGTTGTATGACTTTGAACACACCATTAAGTTCTTATTCTTTTTCTCTGTAAATTAAATCATTGGAGTTTAGCTTCTAAACTCTTTTAATCCATTTATCTCTTTGAATACAGGATTTAGCTGCATTCCCCTTCCTGGTGCTCCTTTTCTTCTCAAATTTTAAATTTTGTAATTTATTGTGCTTAGCTTGCTCCTTTTCATTATAAATCTTCACTAGGGTTACCAATAATAACCACATGACAGAGTTAATACTAAGCTGATTTGAGATTTCCTCTGCCAATAGAATTAATCCAAAACTCTTTACTTTAGCCTTAGGCAAGCTCTTTGGAAAAGGGCAAAACCCAGCCACATTCTTAACCAAAATATCACCAGAACAATCTCTAAGCCACATATCAATATTATTCTCTTCTGAAACCTCTTGAGTCAGCCCCCAGCAGTTCGAATCATTCTCAGCACCACTCTCTTCCATGCTCCTACTAGTATGGCCCATTAAGCAGTGCTTAAAGTATTCTACTGCTTTCATAACTCAGAGTACCAAAGTCCAAATTCCTTCAAACAAAATCATGGTTAGGCCTACCACAGCAATACACCAGTTCCTGGTACCAACTTCTGTCTTAGTTTGGGTCACTATGGAGTCTTCCAGTTTCAGAGGTTTAGTCCATTATCACCATGGTGAAGAGCATGGTAGCTGGGAGTACGGTGGCATGCAGGCAGACATGGTCCTGGAGAATTCTACATCTTGATCCAAAGGCAACAGGAAGTGAACTGAACACTGGGAGTGATTTGAGCCCTCAAGCCCACCTCCACAATGATACATTTTCTCTTACAAGGCTATACCTCCTAAGAGTGCCACTCCCTTTTAAAGGGGCAGAGATTGTGTGGGGAAAATAAAATATAGCTCCAGATCTCCCAGATTTGCTGAATAGAAACATCCAGGAAACACCATAAACTCCAACTAGGATGAACTCAGAGCTCAGCTATCACTGTGGAAAGCAGAGAGGCCCTGTGGCCTACCAAGTCTGTACTTCAATACAACCCTGAGCTAAGACTAAAACATGGTCTCAAAGTTATATCTCTAATCCAAGTT